ATATATTGTATTGTTTATTGCGCGGCCGAATCAAAACTTGATATATTGTACTGCGCGCGTGCTGTTCGCGACTAACTTTCATATTTGGTAGCTTTACGGAATATATTCTACTGGATACGGCACTTTAGATTTTCAGTATCATTGCCGTGGTTGGAAAAAGACGTTATAAATAAGACTTTCTTTAGTACAATTCAATTATATTATATAAAAATATCGTGGTTGTAAGTTTATTTCTTAATATAGATTTATCAAATGTAGTGAACCGTTATATTGTTCAAAATACTCCAACTATGAAAATTCTTTGTAACATGCGGCGACAGATACAATAAATAAACAAATATATCATCGCTTTCGCTAGTGAAAGTGTAATGTAAATTATGCGCAAGGCCCTTCCAGCGATTAATTTATTTGGCAATGTTAGATACGTAGATATATGGTTGAGCCAAGGGAATAGTTGGGATGAGGAGGGATAAATTATTGCTTTCTACAACTATGTGTCTACACCATGTGTTATGTTAGACACTGTTTTAAGTTACCACATGAATTACGCCGTACAACTTAAGGATCAATATAGATTAACTTTTATACGTTTGAAATACTGCTATGGCTGTTTAGAGATATTATGAAAAATATGCTAAATTTACATTAAATATCATTATGTACAGAATGTATGACAAATATACATGTTCTATCCTGCGACAGTTAATACATATTTCATATTCAGCACACCGTAAATATAAGGTAATTTTATGTTTTCGGGTTTAATGCAGATACCGTGTTAGAGGCCGAACTCCAGTAAGTTGGGAAAGTTTTAATGTACTACATACAACACGTGTTAGATTTTTTAATGTTAAACGACCTTCAAAACTTTTTTTCACAACAATCTTTGTATTTTTTGCTTTATAAAAACATTTCGGATAAATTGTTATACAATAAGATTATTGCTTCAACTATGTGTGGGATTTTATCTTATATCTGTTCTAAAAAACTTCCAGTTTTTATTATTTATTTTATATAATAATAATCAAAATTGGCCGCCTATTAAAGTTCTTCGTATATTTATTTAAAAAATACTTGATTCTGCTATCTATAAACATGAAAAATTTTATGTACCAACAGAAGCGCTAGCAATTTACGGCATCGAAAAAAAAAATTAATGTAGATACTCACAAAAAACGTAATAGAGAACATGCGACAACGGCTATATATCAGTAGGGTGTTGATTCATTGGCAAATAAAAGTCTACGTTACAGGAGGCGTCGCGACAAAAATAATTTCATACATCCAAACATTTTCCGATCCATTTCAAGCACGTTCAACCGTTCGATTTTAATGAACACGAAGGAAATGTCATTCGACTAAAAAGCGTCAATGCGCTCAGAAATATCTCAAGACTCGGATATTATGTCGTCATCCGACAATACGGAATATACAAAAACTTGTGACATCCTACAAATGGGATGACGTGTTCATGGAATGGAAGAGGAGAGGAAAAATATTCCATATGTAAAATAAAATTTTTAAATAATATTGGTTGATAAACGATTTAGAAATCTAGTAAAAAAATAATTAAAATAACAATAGAATATATAAAAATGTTAGTAGTTTGATCATATGCCTTCACCTAGTGCACAAATATGTTTGACATTTAAGCAGTGTTGAGCTAGTACTAAATTCATTGACAAAACTAGTATTCAAATTTCCTATATACTTAATATAAAAAAAACCAAATGGAACTGATATTACGGATATGGCAGATGTGATGATTGCTTGTGCCGATGAATTTTTCATTCTAAATCTTCAATTTTAATTTTTCTTTTTAAATAAACGTAAAGTTGTTCATACAATACAATACAATAAGTCACATATTTTGTATGAAATAAGCGTCAATTTTATGATTGCCAATCCTATCAAACTATGATTTTTTTTCAATATATTTAGCTATTTAGGTATTACATGAAAGGTGAAACAAATAAAAACCCATATATTTTTGTATATATACCTACAGCCTGGTTAAAGGTTTCTTTATATCGATACCATACACGACAGGCTATGATGGAAAAAAATTGTGAACTTCACATTCTCAGACTTAATTTGGGACATTTTGGTTTTTGAAATTCTTACTAATAAGTTCTTAAATGGTACTCGTGACAAAATGGAAAATCGAACAGTTAATTTTTTTTATTCAAAGGTTTCATACTGGTTAAAAACAAAATTATTTTACTATTTTTGTTGCATTATCAAGAGGTAACGTAATTGTTTTAAAGTGATGTACAAATCTAAAATGTTACAGTAGGTTCCGTATAATATATTTTTTCTTTAACCAAAAGTAACGTCACTTAAAGCAAATGAAACTTATTCTAATCCCCTTTTCATTCCCATATCTTAAAGGGACTAAATCCTAAATGACTCTTTAAACGCCCCTGTCTCCAACACACAGGGTGGAACCGATAGTGTCAAAAAAAGATAAAAATTTATAAATGGCGTCTTTTAAATGTCTCCCTTATTTTATGTAACGTTGTTTTGATTTGTACCATTTTCATGCAATTCCGTATACTATACCTAAATACGATGTGCATATAAATGTTTTACTTTTTTTAATACTCATGAATATGTAATATTTTTTTAGCTTATCATTATATGAGTGGTAATTAGTGTAAAGATAACCAGAGTTATAATTATTCAATAAACATCATTTAATATATTGCAACACACACGCAATACTAATTCAACGTACCTACTACAACAAAGTGCAGTAAAAATTATTCGTTATAAGTGACAGATCAATTATTTAATTAGGAAATTTTATTTGATTACACTTATATCCGTGGCTAAACAACCTCTATTAAAAATAAAAAAACAATCCAAATTGTATATAAATAACATTATTTTTCTCTAGCAATTGCGGTTATTTCATTATTGTGTAACTATTATCCTCATCCTTTGATATTGTTAGTGTAAACAGATCACACGAAATACAGTAAAAGGCATTGAGTGGGTACATTAAAATCACATTAGAAGGAACATCTTAGGGGTCTGCGATTTATCTCTGACGGTACACAAATAAATTAAAAGAAATTTAGAATCGTATTTTTTTTTTGTCATCATTTAGATGATGGAACGAAAATTAAATTATACGGAAGTTGCGATAAAAATTAATGCGTTTCAAAATAATATTTTTCTAAAGCTTCCTAATGGGGATTTTAATAAACGATGGTCATAAACTTAAATTATAACTTTCGTACACGTGCCTCTCCGAATAAGAATTGGCAAGAAGAAATGAATTCCGAACAAATCACATCACAGCCAAGACACAACCCGAACATAACTCCGAGTAATTCATTCATCAATTCGCACCTAATACATTTTTACGGGTCATAAACATATTATCACTTCATCAGACCATGGTTCCAACCAACCGCACGTTCGCAGACAGGCTAGCAATTTGCCTCACGAAGGCACGTTTAATATTAGAAGTCCTGATTTATGTCCTGCCCCCATAATGAAGTGTCTCCACTACAAACGTGTGCATTGCACTAATTCACTACAACCGATTAGACCGGTGGCATGTCGAAATTCCACCAAAAATAAATTTATATCCGCATATTTACTATTTTGTTTTATATAAAATTTTAGTTGAACACAACGAATAAATTGTTTTGTCGCACAGTTAATTTAAATTTTATTACTTTTAAAATATTTTGATAACAAAAATGTTTTAACATTTTTTGTTTAAAGATGTTTTCTATATTAATAAAACTATCGTTTGTTTTACATCATCCTTAAACTTTCGGAGTATCGGACACAAAACATAGCAAGTAAATCGTAATTTTCAAAACAATTTGAATTAAAATCCAAAACAATGTCGTATATAATTCCTAATTTATTTTCCGTCGGGTCTGTCTCAACAGTCGGGGTATAAGTTAAGATGGCAACATCGCGTTTATCTTAACGCTGAGAGTAAATGCAAACGAACCGTATAAATCCAATTAGTTTAAGATCTCATTAAATCAATTCATTTCTCGGACAGTAATATACAGTTGTACGCGTGTCTTTGTTTTCAATGGCTGCAATCCAAACTATTTGTTATTTCTGAGCTCAGCTTTCTTACCAAAAAGTTGATTAAGAAAACATTACACTTTATATATAATTATGAACTTCTATGTTGTTAACTTAAGGTTAGCGATATTCGTTTTATTCAAATAAATACTATACACATATAAAAACGCCGGCGCTTTTATCAACAAAATTGTGTGAAATAGTCTCTGGGAAAGTATATTTCGTATATAGCTGGCTATTGTTATAGTCACCTAAGCTAACTAATTGTCAAGTACAATACACTTTAATCCATTTAGAAATATATTTTCAGCTGCCGGTAGATCCAATACAAAGGCCGTTGGTCGGAGGAGCAATAAATTAGAAGGAAAGCTGCGAGCCAGGATTTCCCTTGGGTTTATTCTCACTCAAGAGCGCTACACCTAATCCAGAAAGCCTTATTATGCTACCCTTAATACAGTGCTCAAGACTGCTTGAAAATTTTCTCGAGAGTAAACGGTTAAGTTTCGGGATTTCTTTACTTCGGTCATTTTATTCATGTCGCGCTCCTTACGTAATGGTTTTTCACTGTACCCATAACATAATAATATGAAATTGATTTCCAATTTATAAAATGTTCTTATATGGTTATTACAATTATGATTATAGTTTTAAAACATATTTACGATAAGTAAGTTATAAAATAAAAAATATAAAATTATTACAAAGAACGAACGAAAGAACGAAGTAAGAATAATTATATCATCCTTTTTTAATGTAGTTTTGATTGTATGGTTTAAAATATTAACTCTCCGAATAAAGTATAGAACCCTTCTGTTTTACTGTACCTGTCATTCTCAATAAATATTAATAGACTGTGACAGTGACAAAGTCGGTAATATGTTATCGAGTGAATGCAATATCTACATACGTCGACATTTGTCCGTTATTACCAGTTCCTCGAACTACTCTGCTACCAATTTCTCCAATTTAAATTGTCTATGAACGCCGCTGTCTGAAGCCAGCCGGCGCATTCCGCGTTTATCGAAGGCGCAAGCGCAGCCGCTACTCGCTGAACAACAAGGATGGCTATAGCGACGAAAATCACGAGAAACAAGGACGCACTCACACAACACGTAGTCGTTTTTTAAATAATTGAGTCGGGAATGACGATAGGCACCATGCAATTTGAAACATTTTATCGAGCTGGCAGCCCTAGCACGTACAGTGGCCATTTAATATCTGTGACTCATATACGAAACCAAATTTCAAATGACTCTTCCTAGAACTCGATTGCTTTTATCAAGTCGCTTCAGAACAGAAAGTGTATTGAATGTCTAATCAAAGCAATAACATGTTATATTGATGAAGAGCCAATGAAGATAAATGAATTGATTTTAATGCATATATTACGCCCAATTTGGTTTGCAATTAGCAAACAGAGGAATCATACGTCCTAATTTGAGCTGGTTATAATTACGCCCCGGTCAGTGATTGGCTCAAGCTGAGCGCGTTGATTTGTTTCCTTTGTTAGGCGGTGAGTTGTTTGTGTCCTAATCTATGCACTGGCCGGTCTATCTTTAAAGTAAGGCCCGCGTGTGTTGCGACATCTTTTATCGCGGGTCGCGCTTCTGTTTTTGTTTTGTTTGTATGTTTTGCAATTGCGGAGCCATATTGCGCTCGTAAATTATTACGGGTAGAGATTTGTTTCCATAGTTTTGCGGCTGCAATATATCAGAGTTCGCCGGATGTTAGTTTATGTTGACGCTCGCTTTGTTTGGCGATTTTGTACTTGTCACTCTGGACAGACGTGACTATTCTAGATTTTATATCTAATCGCCACAACGAATTCATAGCGTATCAAACAGATTTATTTTACACTCGCAACAGATTTAACACAACATTTATAACTCGACGTTTTATTACTTTATAAGTTCACGAGTTATTGACTTAAATATCGAACTGAAAGTTATTGATAACTCTTTTATTCCCATAAGATCTCACCATCTTTTACTCGACAAAAACCTCTAGTTTATCCTAAACGTTTTGCACTTGAGTATCTATATGGAGCGGTTGCAACGACATCAACACTAAAAATAAAACGTATACAACATGACAATGAATATATGACGTGTGTTCGCTTATTTATTAGACACTTTGTTGCTGCTACACTGCGTAATTTATAGATTAGTTAGAGCTTTGAATGATCCAGGAAGATTATAAAGCGGTTAAATATATGTATATTTGTGCCAAAACTTCTATCCGGTGTTTTTTTTATGAATGTCGACATAATGTTACCGGATGCATGTGATTTAAATCATTTTCTTTAAATATTTTATTTAAAATATGGTTATATCAACTCTATATATATCATCGGGCTCGGGCCGACTGCGTGATGTTTTACGGTATGGGGCGAGACAATAATGGCTTGCTCATAACATTACTCGTCCGCAACCCCGTACTATGAGATGGTTTCACTTGAAGGTTGTACAGTCTATACATTAATACATTTATGTCAATATTACGTCGTAATAAATGAATAATACACTAATACTTTTAAATATTTATAGTTACGTTAATTAATAGAAGTTATATGTCAAATGAATTAAGAATTCATAATGAGATTGTATTTTTAACTAATTACAGTAGCATGAAAACTTATACTTTATACTTCAATTAAGCCCACATAAAGGAATAAATTATAGCTGAATACAATTAAATTGACTGTTATAAAATAGACATATACTTAAGCAGTCGATTGAATTTAATGTATAATATAAAAATTTAACTCGACTATAACAACTTAGATACAATAACAGAATATATTTATTATTCAAATCACGCGCTATTAATTCAAATATTTGTTTATTCAAACCTTCAATCAAGATGGCTGCGATAGAAATAATAACTATCATTGATTCTTAGGCTCGTCTTAAATTTACATAGAATGAGATGCGCATACGCCTAATTAGACAGTGCTAGGGAACATAAATCATAGCTGGCTCTTAGTCAGTAGCCATGTGACTTCCGAAGAAGATGGACATCGCACCGACGGCTTGCTATTTCCGAAGCACCATAAATCTTTAAGACGAATTAACACTTTGATTTCATTAAAACTTTAGACTTAAAATTTAATGCAGTCAGTTTAGAATTAAACGAAAATTACTTCGTAATAAAGTATGCATTATTATATACTTCAGGTATCCTAACAATTGAGGGAAAATGTCGACATCGTGAATGTGAGGGAACAATTTGTCGAAGTACTCTATCATAAACTGTTTAATGTCATCTAATATAAATTATGTATTTTATATTTTATAGTTTACACAAATAACATCTTGATTGCATTCCCAACGTCCTTTATAATCGATAACGACTTCGACTTAACTAAATAACGACGGGTTAATTACGTGTCATGTTGATTAAATAAAATTATTTTGCATGTTTGTAACAGTTTGTAGTGTCACAATCGTTTTCACTGCAATTAGGTAACACGATATCGAGAACAGATATACATCTAGTCCGATTATATTAAAAAATTACATAAAATAGCCAAAGAAAGACATAATTAATTTTTATAAGATTTATATATATATTATTTATGCAAGTCTTAAAATATTATGATAACTGATTGCGTATTTAAATTAATGTTGCACCTCTTTCCTTGGCCTTAATCATTCGAGAACTTGTTCTTATTTAAATAATAGATAAATTATAATTCCCACAGACGCTGACAGCAATTAATATACAGACAATAAGATCTAAACGATGAATTTAACAAAGAAAGATAGAATTCAATATAATATAAGCTTTGATTGATGGCTAAAAGGCAGCTGTTTGCGAATTAAAAAGCAAACCAAATGGATCCTTATACCTCAATAGTACATTTATGTGAACTCAAAGCTGAGTAGATAGTTAGTTTATGAACCATTAATAGCTTTCATTACATACAAGTACCTATTTATGTGCAAGCAGAGTACCGTGAACAATTTTAGAAGCGGTATAATTAATGAGTTAGTCCTATGTGATGGTTAGATTTATGCCTGTGAGCTTACGGCACAGGCCAAGGTGGTTATATTAATGTTGATAAAGAAGTTTTAAATATAATCCACCTATCAATTAAAATAATATTCTAAATACAATTTTTATAATATTTTTTCAATATAATATGTATGTATTCAATCTATAGAACTAAAACGTGCCCCAAATAGGATGTTGTTTAAATATAGCAACAATTTAGGTCTTCTATTAATCAGTACAAAGAGCGAGCTCTCATTCCAATGCTAGTTGGACATTTAGACAAGTTTAGTAATTGTTAGCTGAGATACCTAGATAGATAGACTCTTATTAACCGAGCATTTAATATTATACCAACGACCCGGTTACAGTTTATTAAATAATAATCCACAGAATATTTAATATAAAACCTCCTTACATTTAATTAATTCTTAACGCTATACGTATCGATGGTTTTCTTTATCTGTATAGTTTTTTTTTTTACATCGATATCAAATAGATCAAAGGTAAGAATTCGCTCACTCATTATGTATGCTTGGATGCGTACAGAACTACTTAGCTTCAATGCATGATACAAATAGAAAAAACTAGACTGTGAAGCTAACGTACACTAATAAAAGATATTAACTATGAAATCTTGATAATTCAATGTAATCCACACGAGCTATTTAATTCCTTTTTATATATGTTTATACCAGAGTATCGTCTTATTCAAGTTATTATTATCTTTTAAAAGTGTTGAATTCCTCTTGCGTTTAACATTGTTGACTATTATTATGACGTAAAACCTTTAAAAAACTGATTTACACATTCTTTAATTAGCGATCATAATTAGAAATAACAATAGATAAAAACAGTCAATTACATGTAACGGTGCACGTTAAAACCGTCAAGTACTTTTTGTTTCTTTTATAAAACATATTTAAATTATAAATGCATTTGCTTTTGCTTTTGCTTTCCACTCCAGTGAGCCTTTAAAAGATAACTTAAAGGAGAAAAATTCGACTGTCGAAATAAGAAAGTTAAAATTTATATTATTATTACCCTAACCATAGTTTTATACACAATTAAATTCATTTAATTCTATCAATTTTAATGCCAGAATTGTTTAAATTAACTTACATTTTTCTACATGCTAGACCACCTATAGTTTTAAATTGCAAGAAATGTTTATACGTGCGCAGTAAGTGGCACTATATCCGCACCTTGCAACAACAAAAAACGTAACAATTAAGGGAACATAATATAATAACACAAGAACCATTTGTCAGTCAGTAAAAATTGCACATTAAACCAATACTGCCAAAGATTAAATTCAATTGTATAACTATATTATCTATATTGATTGTGAGACGGGATATCATGGCATTCTATAGCTGGTTTCTTCAAAGCGTTACATTTTCATAGAATTTGCTAGTGTTTTTCCAACACCTTTCGATTGCGTGTGTCGAATTCTAGAAAGCGATGTTGGTTTTTTTAATTTAATTGGATATGGTACTTCGAATGTGAGTTTCCATTAATATTATATTACTTTTAACGTTAAAAAACTAATGCTAGTGAGTTTTGATTGACTTAAGACTGACGGTTTAAAGAGCTGCTTATTACACACGGCTTTGAAATCGTGTTTATGATTTCCGTAAACACAATTAACTTACTTAATCCGCTTACATTAATAAATAAGTCAGTTGTTGCTATATGAGTGCACCTTATGTTTGCTTTTAATGGCTATTTGTTGGTGGTGTAAGGTGTTGCGACATGCGGTGACAGTTCTATCAATTTATATTAAATTGCAAGTCTTTTGTAAATTTATTTGAGCTCACATTTGATGCTTTTTCATTTTAAAGACATTTTTTTGTAATAACTTCTTTTATTTTTTTATATAATAAAAATAAAAGATAATAAGAAGAATATTTTGGGGTAAGTCAAAAGCAATATTATACAAAAATTTTAGCTACAGTTGTGGAAGTTGCCTGCAAATGGAATAAAGTAGAGGCATAAATAAGAAGAGGTTTTGCGGCGAGCGGTCTAACGAGACGACGAAGCAAGTTCTAGCGGGAATTCTTAGAGTTGGGAATTCTTCAAGTTTTCAGATGTAACAAACTTTAGGTACTATGATGCGGTTACTCTCGGTTTAAGGGAGGGAAATTCAATTTAACGCTTTATACTCCAAAAACTTAGCTATATGAACCAATAATAAGAAGTAGTACAGTATGATTGC